ATGGAATCCAATGACTTGTTGCCGTTGAGCCGGGACGGGTGATTGGCCCACTTGACCAGTGACGTCAAAGTTGTGGTTGTGGGCGATTGCTTGAGAAACAAGCGTGGCTGGTCACTGGTCCATGTGTAGTACTTGACAACTTCTTCCGGCGTGCTGTGCATGGTGAGCAATTGAGAGGCCGCCGGCTTGGACGGTGGCGAAGAAACTCCGTGAAGAGACTGAATGATCCGGGGCTGCACCGCGCTATCAAACGACTTGCCATCAAGGGCAGCTGCGCTGGCCGTAGGGAGGGAGCTGGCAGGCGACGAGGATTGTTTGTGGTTGACCGGTGGCGGTGTGACCAATTCTGCATCATCTTTCTGGCTTGCCACCGTGGGGGAGGTCGAAGCGCGAAGCGATGCTGAATACTGAGCCTGGAGCAGTTCATGAGCACGATTTAGATCATTGTACTTCTTGACCATGTCATCTGTCTGGGTGGGACGTGAGAGAGGCGTGGTGTTGTTGAAGAAATTGGAGTACCAAGTTGGCCAAATGGTCATGAACCTTGATCCGCTGATTGAAGTCATCGAGGTTGAGTCCCAGCGAATTGGCAAGGTCCTTTTCCAGGGTGAGCAGGTTGATCGACTGCGATCGCCGTAATAGTTTGGAACAGGCACTCCAAAGCAAGGCCTCAGTGCGAGTGCGAAAGCCTTCCCACGTCACGAATCTGCCGTGAGCAAACGGTCGGAGTAGCCAGTTGGTGAGGCCCCCATGAATAACCTGAATCAGGCGAACGTCACGAATGTCCATGCCTGACATGTCGCGTTGGTTGCTATGAGGAGTGTTGGCAACCGTCATGGGCAGGCTGAAGTTGTAGAGCTGATTGACATCTAACATGCCATCTCCAGGTGTCCAGTCAGGTGATGGTGTAAGCCAGGCTTTCTGAGGACGAACCGGTAGAGCAGCAGAAGGTCCAGGTGGCGGTAAAGGTTGAGAGGTAGTGACCGGTGGTGATATCACGGACGCCATGAACTTCGTTGACGTGGGCTCTGGAGGAATCGGCATCATGTAGTTGATCGATGGATGTTGGAACTGCTGCGTGGGACTAGGGATCGATTGAAAATTGGTGGACATCATCGGGAAATTGTTGGCGGAGTTGTAGCCAGAATTGTGTTGCCAAGATACCAGGTTGTTCCAATCCATGCCCTCCGAGACGTGGTGGTCATTGTGTTCACGCCGGTGTGCTTTGCGAGCTTGGGGAGAAGTACTCCGGTCGCGTCTGCGCCGAGTCCTGGATCTATCACGATCATCACGTCGAGACATGGTGACGCAACCGACTCTGAATCTTCACACTTCCACCTTGAGAGAAACGGATCCGACAACATGCAAATCAATGCAAATGCAAGTCAACGGCCCCCAGCTGCGATGGTCGATGAAATGGATCCGACAAAAGGTAAGCCGACATGTACAAGGCAAAGCAAATACAAGTCAGCAATCTTCAACCGCTATGATACGAGCAACAAGTTCAACCAATGGTAAGCCAATGCAATGAAAGTCGGCAGCCAGCAGCTGTGGTGAGACGTCACTATGGTCTGATCGCTGTCTTCCCTTTAGTGAAACCTCGTTCCTGGTTAAATGTGAAATTCCGCTGTTCTATGATAAGCACGTTGAGGTCAAATTTTCCGACAGAGCCGGCCCGGGGTCACACAATGGGTACACCCGAGGATTCCCCACGAATGGGGTGTACACACTTGAACTCCAAATGGAGAGTGCTAATCTTTCGAGTACAACTGATGAGTCTCGAGTACCACTGATGAGTCTCGAGTACAACTGATGAGTTTCGAGTAGGATCGACTTGCAATCACTTGGCTTCCGTCTAGCAGCGAACACGTTACCCGAAAGAACAAGAAGCACAAGCAGCGCCGCAACCAAGGGGCCAAATAGACATTCAGAATCACTGATGCAGGTACAAGATGCTGCGTCCAGCATCTCCTCCACCCGATTTCCGTAGCTCCGTTGGCACGGCTTGGAAATCAGGCGCCGTGCCCCCTGCCTCCGAAAACGACCCAAGGTGGTGACAGGGTATTCTGTCACTCCGCACACACACACACACACACACACACACACACACACACACACACCACACCACACACACACACAACACACACACACACACACACACACACACACACACACACACACACACACCACCCACACACACCACCCACCCACCCACCCACCCACCCACCCACCCACCCCACCACCCACCACCCACCCACCCACCCACCCACCCACCCACCCACCCACCCACCCACCCACCCACCACCCACCCACCCACCCACCCACCCACCCACCCACCCACCCACCCACCCACCCACCCACCCACCCACCCACCCACCCACCCACCCCCCCACCCACCCACCCACCCACCCACCCACCCACCCACCCACCCACCCACCCACCCACCCACCCACCCACCCACCCACCCACCCACCCACCCACCCACCCACCCACACCTCATGCTTAGCCTCAATTTGTGTTTGCTCCGCTTCCAATGTTGCGCAAGCCGTAGAATCACATTTGGCGATGGAACGACACCATTTCCGAAGCCTGACATATCAGTGAGTAGAATCTTCACAATCGGAATGGCAAGCCATGGCAATTTGCCAAGCAGCTCCAAATCCTACAAAAGACCTCCCAATGCTTGAGGGTTTAGCGCAAAGCTGACCTGCCAATTTGCGTGGGGAATTCGGTTCCCCACCAAAAAACTTTCGGGCAAGGCAGCTTGATGCGCGTGCTGAAAGAGGTTTGGGTCATCTAAGCAGGAATGAGTGTTGGCCGCCAAGAGGAAAGGGCTTGAACTGTTTTCCGGGAAAAACTTAACTATGAAATCGCCTCTTCTGTACGAGCAAAATACGTTGTTCTGAGCGCCCAAATTCTGCTCACAATTTGGCAGATTGGGCTTGCAAATGCGGCAATTGCAAGTTTTCACAAAGAAAGCAGTGACCTGCAACAAATCCTGCATGGGCACATGTTTTAGGGTTTTGGCCACACACTACATAATACGGAGCAGAACGTTGAGGCCCCAGGTTCCCCGTGAACCAACTCCGAGCAAACTCCGGACAAATTCCGAACGAACTCCGAACGAACTCCGGGCGAACTCAGAACAAACTCCGAACAAGCGAACAAGCTCCGAGCGAACTTTGGCATTGTTCCCGAGCCAACTCCGAACACACTTTGGCCATAAGTATGTGTTTGAGCCTAAGGATTTTGGTGGCCAAGCTGTTTTTTAGCTTTTTTTCGGGATTACCAAAAGAGGCCAAGTGATTACAGGGGCAAGTTTCAACAAGTGGCCTGGGAAGGTGTTTTTTGAGGCAAACAAACATGTTCTCAGGCCACTTGTTGAAATTAGTTCTTTTAGTCATTTGATTTTCCTGTTATGTATGTTTCGGGCTGGATTTACTTCCCGGACAAGCGCCAAACAAACTTTGGCCATATGTTTCTTTGAGGAGCTGATTTTTGTGTTTCAGCCTTAAGTTTCAGTTTTTCGTTTTTTTTTTTACAGGCCGTGATTTTTGCTTATTATTATTTTCGGGGCTTAATTCTTGCCCCGGACGAACTTCGAACGAACTCCGAACGAACTTTGGCCTTATGTTTTTATTTTTTCCTCTTTTTTTTCTTCTTCTTTTTTTCCGGTGTTGAACTTAAGCAAAAACACTGGAACTACAACTTGTTGATGCGTTTTCGTACAAATTCAGTGTTACCAGGCCAAAAAAAACATTGAAACATGCTTAATCCAGGTTTTTCATGCAAAAAAAGCTATTTCATACGACCAAAATCGGGCAAGCCCTTACAAAAAAGCGGGCAAACCCTTAAGTTCAGGTGTTGAACTTAAGCCTTTTTGGAATAAGGTTGTTTTGCCCGGATTAAGCCTTGATCAAAAATATTAAGCTTTGTTTCAGCTTCAATAGCGAGCCTCAGCGCCAACCAAGCTGCGTGATTACCCGGCAGCGATTTTAGCCCTCCACAGCTCTCAAGTCCTACAAATCCGGCCCTGAACGCCTTCCCAGGCCACTGGTTGAAACTGGCCCCTGTAATCACTTGGCCTCTTTTGGTAAGCTCGAAAAAAAGCTAAAAACAGCTTGGCCACCAAAATCCTTAGGCTCAAACACATACTTATGGCCAAAGTGTGTTTGGAGTTGGCTCGGGGGTTTGTTCGGAAATCAAGCAATGACAAAGTTCGCTCGGAGCTTGTTCGCTTGTTCGGAGTTTGTTCCGAGCTCGCCCGGAGTTCGTTCGGAGTTTGTCCGGAGTTTGCTGGGAGTTTGTTCGGAGTTCGTTCGGAGTGATTCGGAGTTCGTTCGGAGTTTGTTCGGAGTTTGTTCGGAGTTGGTTCACGGGGAACCTTGGGCCGCGGGCCTCTGGGAAATGCCTACCAAGAAAAACAGTTCTGCTCCGTATTATGTAGTGTGTGGCCAAAACCCAAAAACTGTGCTCATGCAGGATTTGTTGCAGGTCACTGCTTTCTTTGTGAACACTTGCAATTGCAAGCCCAGAATCTAGCCAAAATGCGAGCAGAATTTGGGCTCAAGAACAACGCACTTTGCTCGTACAAAAGAGGCGGCTTCATAGTTAAGTTTTTCTCGAAAAAAACAGTTCAAGCCCTTTCCTCTTGGCGGCCAAGACTCATCTCTGTTTAGACGACCCCACACCCCTTTCAGCAGGCGCGTCAAGCTGTCTTACCCCTAAGGCTTAGCGCGCAAAACCGGCCTGGTCCCCTCCCAAGAAAGCAAATTGATTCTTGTTTGTAGACAACTGGCATCAATAGTACACTTTGAGGCTTGCTGCAAAATCTGTGTTTTTGTTTTTTTGGTTTTGGCAAACCCTTAAGTTTGAGTAAAAAGCCCTTATCCTTTTTTAGGACCTTAAAACACCCAAATCCCGAGCGAACTGACCTGACCCATGAAATTTGGCAAGCTGACCCACATGCCCCTCCCGAGCGGGTGGTTTTTTGGTGCGAGGAGCATTGTTACTTGCGCAGCCTGGTTGAGATGCTGCCCCTCTCCACCGTGTCTGGAAGCAACGTCTCGGACTGCATGGTCTGCTCCTGGGCAGAAGTGGACCCCCCAGGCTCCTGAGGCAAAGTGTCCTGGGTAGCATGGCGCTATGCTTGGGGACGTGCTGCATGGGCGGCTCACAGGCCCCTTTGCAAGCCAGCCCTCGTTAAACTTGGCAGACCTTGCTGGCTCAGGGCTGAGGTGGGTTCCCCTAGTTGAGTAGTTGAGGCATATCTCATGTCTGGCGTGTGTCACCTGGCGTGCCGCTGGCCGGACATGCACTTGACAAGCGCGCCTGACAGTCCAACAAGTTGCCGGAGAGAAGTGTTCCTGAACATGGCCTATTCACGCATATGGACATTCTGGTCACGTGCTGTTTGGAGGATGTATAAACATTCGTCGTGTGCCCGTTGAGATACCCCTCTAAAGTTGGTTTCAACTTTGTAAATGACCGACCATTCAGACATTTGTGCTGGTACCCAATGAAAGAGCACCTTCACATTGTGTGACGCCCAAAGTCCAGCCTTTTCCAAGCTGTAAAGGAATCAGGTTTCCAATCGTTTTTGGGGGTTCTTGAGGCCAGCTCCAAACCATTTGAACCCCCTTCTTGTAGAAGGAGGGGAACCGACTTTCGGAACACCACTCGAATCCAAGAGTTTTGTCGGGTTCATCGGTGGAGTGAGGTTCCCACTTTCGGGGGCGTTTTTTCCGGGCTCGAGAGCTGAGATGTGAGGCTTGGAGCCCATGGAGGTGTCCCAAGAGGTAAGGACGCTGCCTTGCATGCGCCTTGGCCGATGCCATACGAGCTCAGGAGGTTATTGGAGGCCTCTCTTTGATGGCTTAAACCCAAGCGGGCACCCTTTTGGGTGGTTTAAAAAGGACCTGGGTTATTGAGGATGGTTCAAACCCAAGCGGGTATCTTCTTTTGAGAGATCCTTTTGGTGGGTTCTAAAAGGAAAAGGACAATTTCCATGAGGGTTCCAACTAGTTTTGAGACTTTTCCAACCCTTGGGGCAGCCTTTTTGCCATTTGTGTGGTGTCTTCCCTGGGCTTCTAGCATCATGTGACACGAGCCAAGGCTACGGAAGTCCTCTAGAAATTTGGCCGGGCATGTTTTCAAGACCAACAAGGTATGTTGGCAGAGGCAACCTTGAGCCTGGATTGATGTTAACAAACACGACCGCCGATCCCTTCCTGGCGATCATTTTTTTGCCGTTGTCTTTGCACTAGAAACCATGACCACGGCCCACAGATTCGGAGTTTTGGCCATGGCACAGGATCCTTGTCAAAAGAGTTGTGATGCAGATGCAACGTTTGGGCTGGGAAGGCATTGTCTCATCTTATCACTTCTTTATTTTATTTTAGTATAGTTTACTTTTGGGAAGGGGAACGACAGTTACACAGTGAGCCGTCTTCTTCCATCGGTTGGCCATGCCTTCCCTCTTCCCTCTTTCATCTTTCTACATCTCTCCCTACCTCCTAATTCCTGACACATAGTCACTGCCAATTCTTGGAAGAGTCACTGCCAGTTTTGGGCAGAGCCACTACCAATTTTTCGGCAAAGTGGTGGCGAACTGACAAGTTTGATTGAACACCAGGGTCAAGCGTGAGGGTGTGTCACTTCTAATATGGGAGTCCGAATGCTCACCAATTTGGGAGAACTAATTGTATTTGATTAAACAAAAACAAAAACCCGCACAGTTTGTATGACATTTGGCAAATCGCAGCGGCGCGGCCACCCCCATATCTTATACATGTTTCCTCAAAGATTGGTATGACATCTGAGCCCTTTGGCTGTCTTCAAAACCCTCCTTCAGCCGGCAACTGTTGACAGAACGAGAGGTTCGTTAGTATAACAATAGTATACAACTTGTTTTTAGAATGGTACCATGTGGCATACATCTTGCATCAAGTTGGTATGATGTGAGTATAACAGCTGTGTATTTGAATTGCAAACCATTTCGCATGGAATTGGTATGACATTGGTGTTGTTGTGGCCTAAAGATGTACTGTATTGTTAGAGGCATGCCCTAACCTATGAGGAGACAACCGCAACCAGAACCTAGTTGGTACATAAACCCAAGCGACGCAACCCATTTTACAGGGGATGTTTGGATCGCGGCCCCTTCTCCAAGATGGTTTTTCCGAACGCGCCTGCGCTAACATGATGCGTGACAGGGGTCCCTCCACCAGGAAATTGATCTTCCCTGTATTGTCCTGCCGGTGCTGCTTTTGGGGGGGGGGGCCCTTGGCATGATTCTCCATCTGTAATGTGGCGGTATAGCTCCCGTTTCCGTTTTTTTCTTCTTCTTTGATATTCCCTTTGGGTCCCGGCAGTTGTCAGGGGGTATACACAATGACTGATTGTGTTTGCAACCGGAAACGGGGTTTCTCAAAGTAGTGGGCCCAAATTGGAAACTATCCTTTTTTGAGGCTCACTTGGCAACAAACATGTTTAGAGGTACAAAAGGAAGCTACTTGGGTCCCTGACCTTCCTTATCATTCAAGTTCATAACGTTCTGCGAAACACCCAAACAAATGGGCGAGACCTCAGGCATGTGTTCCACCGGCAATGCATTGATCGCTGGCTCTGCGAGCCGGGCCGGCGCCCGCGCTGCCCCATCGATCAGGCGCGGGGAGGCTTCTGAAAATGGATCCGGACCCCTTTTTGGTTGGTATTTCATGGGACATCAAAAGGAACATGTCATATTTTAGTTCTGAGACGCACCCAGTTTACACAAAAACAGCAGCGTGCAGCATGTGAGCCACAATCAAACCTGAACTGGCAGATCATTCGGGGAGAATCCCAACCAGTGGGTGCTCGATTGCTTGTGGGGCTGTACTTAGGTCGGGCCCTTTCCAGAATTCCAATGCTTTCTTTCTCTCTCCTTGAGACCATCCCAACGGACGCGAGTTTTGAAACACATGAGTCAACTGTACATTGACGACAGCTGCTGGCATTGGAGCGAGAAAAGGAACCTGTGGCTAGAATTGGAAGCGTGTTCCGGGAGATGCAAGCCGACCAACATTTTGGGGGAAGTCCCTAGACAGCCCCAAACAACCCCTCGAAACATTGGATCAAAAAGATCAACAGGGGAAGTTTATCCCCTTTTGGTTGCTGTTGTCATAGTTTTTTGTTTGCTTTCAGGAGTTGTTTGCAATGTGTCTGACACGTTATATACACATCCTAAGGATCAGCGTTTTTTGCTCTCTACACGTGGTTTGTTTTGAGTATGTACTTGGGTTGAATGAAACTACTTTTGAGTTGTGATTTCAAATATGACCCAAATACCATCAACGCCAACGTTCACAGTGTCTTCTTTGTTCATAGATCAAAACATGTTTGATATGTATGGTTGAATGATGAAGGTCCGAGATGCATCCGTAACAGGTTTGCATGTTGTGGAATTCGGTCATCCGCCTTGGATCGGGTTGGATCTCGTCGATGCAAGTTTGTACTGACCGGTTTCACAATAAGCATCGAGGAACGGTGTGTCTCTTTGCATGTTTGTGTGTTTGTATGTGCGTGCATGTGTGTTTGTGCACGCACAGGTGCGTGTTTGTATGCGACCCCATCATGATTCTGGATACGAGCAAGAATAACAATATAATAAACAAGCACGGAGCAAACACGTCGAGCGCCGTTAGATCAAGTTCTGAACTTTGACACCTTGGCTGCTCCCTCAGAAAAGGCGAGACAGCAAGACAGGTTTTGATCTTGAGTCCGATGCTCTGTGGATACGCGGGAATTGACCAGGACTACAGAGCAGCATGTCATGCCAGACTGAGTGCCACGTGAGTGTTTTGAGGGCACCCTTTTGAGGTTGTTGCAAGGGGCACTAGAGGGAGACTACCCATTCTCGGATTCCCCCTTTATTTGGAGACACAGCCTTGTGATTGCACTTCCATGTTGCAACCCTTGAGCGAACCAAGCCCATGAAGAACATTGCCGTTAAGCATGCAGGGTGCAATGGCCCGCCTCACTCACGGGTGACCCCAGAATCTTCAACTGACAATTGAGATAGCTCTTGCATTTAAGAGCCTGGCATTTTAGAGACTGGCGTTTTAGAGACTGGCATTCGTGAGGTTCACTGAGGTTCACCCAAAACCCGCCACAAACAAAAGTGTAGAGAGCAGCGCTCTGGACGATCGCTTCCCAGAAGCTCTTTTCTGCCGCAGGCGGAGGTGCGGCCGGGATAGGCACGTCTTGACCGGGAGTCAAACGGCACGGTCTAGCGCTTTTGACAGAAGTCCCTTCGTGGCCAGCTGACAAGATCTTGGAAGCACAATTAGGTGAGTGGCCAGCGTGTGTACTGCCAAGGTGTAAGACACATTCAAGGATTACGGGTCAGAACTTGTTTGCTTTTGGGCGGATGCCCACACACCTGTCCATCAAGCCTCGTGTCGATTGATGATGATGATGATGATGATGATGATGATGATGATGATGATGATGATGATGATGATGATGATGATGATGATGATGATGATGATGATGTAGATTCTGTTGACTCAGAACCTCAGCCAGTGAGGCATTGAGCCGTTTCAGCCATTCAGCCATTCAGCCATTTCTTCAGACATTCAGGTTTGTTATTGTCCAAGCTATTTTGTTTTGGTAATTTTTGTCCAACGAGTTATGTGCTCTGCTTGCTGTCAGTGCGCATCTGGCAGCTTGGGTCTTATTGGTAGACAGGCACACCATGGTACACCTAGATTGCCTTTTTGGCTTTGCCTTTCACGCAGCTTCATTCGGGTGTCTGAAGTTTGGCCAGCTTAGCAGCAGCTTCTCAGCGCCTTCCTCTCCTCCTGCTCGCGCTGTGCTTGTGTGAAGGGTTGGCCAGCGGAAGGCACAGCCCTGCAGCGCTTGCCGTGCTCTTGGCACTTTTGCGCTTTTGCGCTTTCGAGGTGACGAGCTCACTCTTGCCATTTGGGGAGTCCAGCACCTTCGGGGGTCGGGATTGCTTACCCAGCGAGGAGCTTCGGGGCAAATCAAAATTGCAACCCTTCGGTTTTGGTTTGCCTCCCAAGAACGGTTCCTTTCTTGTCCCTTGCCTTTTGTTGATCTGGTTATGTGTATCGAGATGCCAACTGGTGAAGATTCTTTCTAGTCCACGCAGAAAGTACTGTACGTGGGACAAGTCTAAACCGGGTCGCGGAAGTTGAAGCTTGGGAGCGGACGCCTTGCGACGCCCTCGGAGGTCATTTCGAAATCGCTGGATCTCGCCCTATAATTCATTTGCACCCATAGGGCAAGGGAGCAAGCGTGTCCTTGGGCACTTAGCTGACGCACGAAGAGCCCGAAACAGGTGATGTGCTTGATAAGTTGCCTTTTGATGTTGGGGTAGCTTTGCCAGCTTGATCCCTTGGACATAGCCAGGCATGTTGGGATCATACGGATTCTGCCACCGGTGGGCAGCAATCCAGGTCCTTTCCAAGTCCCGTGACTCGCCAGACAAAAAGCTCGCGCCAGAGATCAGCTTGCGGGGTACAGAACGCAGGTCGCAGGGCAGAGGAGTTGCTGTTACTAAGCGATGTTGGCACACACACACACACACACACAAGTGAGTTTGTTCAGCTACACATAAGCATCCAGGTTGGTGCGCCTGTAGTCTTGCGCCGTTCCGCATTGCGTAACCAGGACCTGCCTGAATCAGAAAGGCTGCCAAGTGTTGTTCTTTTCATGCACAGTCAGGCTTGACAGGTGAGAAGCATTGTTGCCAATCTGCGGGCTCGACCACGTACCCTGGGTACATACTGTGGTAGGCATCCTCAATCTATTCCCCATATACACACAGATTGTCTATCCATGTACATATATATATATATATATATACACATATGTATGTATCTCAGTGGTGCCTACTCCATGTGGTTGAGCCCCGAGAACCATCTCTGGGCTAGACCTCAACCTTGCCGTTACGCAACCTTTGGTCGATTTGACATGATTTGAGAGGAACCCCAGAAGCCACAGCTTTTCAGACAGAACCGGCTTGCTCAGCTCTTGGGCACGCGATATTCCGTTCAAGAAGAAATTGCTTCAGGTACCCTTCCAAAGGTTCTATGTTAGCGGGAGGAAGTGTGCTGCATACACACTCCTAAACATCTACTTCATCTATTTCTTAATGGTTGCAGCCCCGTTTTTTAGCAAACACGAACAGTGCATTCAGCGGATGGCACTTTATTACAATGAAAAGCAGGTCGATTTGTGGTTTGTACAGGGCATCTACAGTGCTGGATGACTAGCCCCGGTTGAATGCCCAAGCAGCCAAATGGGCTCGCAGCAACCCGACCTTCCTCTTGGCAGGATATCTCCAGTCTCCTTTCCTGAGAAAACTGACAGAAAGAGGCGGCAAGTTATGCACTCTTTCTTTGGAGTCCTGTGACACTCGGTTTGAACCCAGCACCAGGTACTTAAAGATGAGAGCAGGGCGCTTGCCCCTGCAAAGCCCTCCGCGAGTGCCTGATTCACGGCGGCGCTTCTGCCCCGGCCCTCCACGAATGTGCGGGACCTCCAAGTGGCAATGGTTTTCACGTTCTTCGCACACCCGGGGCGTTTGGACCGAATATTTGTTTGCCTGGCAAAGGTGTCATGTTCGTCCTGGGGGCACTCATTTCAAGTGCGGCTGCCTGACTGGAGAGCCGAGCCCCTTTCGTCCACATGAAGCGCTGACGTGTAGTTGCGTTTCCTGTGGCGCTTACACTAAGCGCTGAAACACGTAGAGAGCAAGGCAACATTTTTCCGTCACCTTGTCCGTTTAAATGCTTTGAGGCCTGTTGCCTGGCCTTGGATTCTCAACCTGTAAATTGTTGATCTAAGTTTCCAGATGGCTATGCACCACTTGAGTGGTATGAGCTTTCACATCTTGTTCGGCAGGCTTTAGCAGCCACAAGGACACGCCGTTTGAACCCACTTTATCAGGTGTATGTTTCTTGTTGATCAGCTGGTGGGCCATGTAAGCCGAGTCGCCTTGCAACAAAACAATGGAGCCCTGTTGTTGTGCGTTCTGGGATTCTAGACAAGCCTCTATGAAATATTGTTTTTGAATGAGGGGACAAACGATTTGGCGGGGATCTTGGAGGCCTGTTCGCCTGTTCCTCAAAGCTCGAGCTGGCCGCTAGTCGACGCTCGGAACCAAACAGTTGCAATGTCTGCCAAGCTGAGTGACATGTCAGAGATGCCCGGCGTCGTCCTACAGCAAGGGTCCTTCGATTTCTTATTTCGGGTTATTCATCGATTTGGAGTGAAATGGTGCTGCGTTTGGGTGGTTTGATGCTTGAAGCGGAATCCAAGCCTCAAAATGCCAGTGTCTTTTTAGTGCAAGTTGGAATTGACAATAAGTTTGAACATTGATTCCCCGAGGAGATTGATGACACCGTGATATTTTGGATGCCTTGTCGCTGCTGGTCTTTTTGGCTGTCAGGCAACTGCACAATGCGAATTGGAGAACACGCAATGGATGGTTAGCCGTTTGAGGTGACAGGTGTTTCCTTTTCCGAAGTCAAACCATCAGGCAAGGCCATGACACATGGGAAGATAGCCGCAAGAGCAAGCAACCAGTCCCACGGGAGCACCGCGCACCGTTGGCAAGAGGCTGAACCACGCGCTGCAATCCTTTTTCCAGGGCGGCTGCGTTCCGCCCCGGTACTGGCCTTACAAATGTCGTGAGCGGTTGATTAGGTGCTCATTACAAGGATTCCTTAGACAGCCATGTTCTCAAATTACCCATGTAGGTTTTCCTAGCTTCCTCACACCGGACCCCATGATTTACTTTGATTCCAGCTCGTCAACTCAGTTGTGGACGAGGCTCCGATCCCGGAACTGAGGATTCAGTGAAATTCAAGTGCATGATTTTGATATTTGACAGCCTTTTAGACGATGCATTTCAGGGCGGACATGTGCACCTTCACTGGAGGGAGAACGGAGCAGTGAAGGCCCACAACCCTCGTTTGGCCAATCCAACACGCATTTTGGTGACCTCGCCTCTCTGTTTGTTTTGGGCAACGTCGTGGTTATTGATTGCAAAACGGGAAGACAAGAGGGAAGCCGAAAGCTCTTCAGCTTCGCTGAGGCAATGCCTTCCAGTAAGGCCTACAATTTGGTGTGCCTCGTCTTTGGACCTAGCGGACGTGGGCTCTTCGTGCACATGCTGGAGCAAATGCGCCGTCCTTTCTCAACATCCCTTGGTGTAAGCGATGAGGTGTGTTTTTCTCCTAGGGCTGCTTTTTTCTGAGGTCTGGTTCCCTGGCTGGCTGGCTGGCTGGCTGGCTGTTTGGTAGGTTGGTCGGTTGGCCGGCCGGTTGGTCGGTCGGTCGGTTGGTTGGTTGGTCGGCCGCATCCTCGACATCACTAGCCTCACTTGGACCGTCTGCCTATTGGCTCTGACTCGGTGGCAGTTGGGGTTACTCGGGGCTGGTTTAATAAAGGATAATAAAGGGGGGGTTTTAGGCTGCTTTGTATCTTACTGAGTTGGGGTTCATTTAGGCTCAGCAGGGCTGACGTCCAGGCTACTGTTGGGTGGGTGGTTTTGGGGTTGGCTTAGATCGGATTTGTGTTAGGTCCGCTGCTGGTTGAGCTTCGGGCTAGTTTAGGATTGGTTTTGGAGCGTTGCCCCAAACCACCAAAACTGGCCCAAAAGTCAGGTACTGCACCCTAAAGCAAACCTAGCGCCACCGCTAAAAGAACCCCAAGCCAACCAAAGACCATCCTCAGCAAGAATTCCCCTCATTAAGCAGTCCCGTGCCTGGGGGAAATAGGCAGTCTTAGGTCCAACTGACGCCGGATGCTGGGGATGCAAAAAACCAGTGCTCGGAAACCCCGCCCGAAGCAAAAAACATACACCTCTACTCTTGGTGTATGAGCTGGCCCACCGGTGGTTGACAGTGTTGGTTTTCCTTCCCATGTGGACACGCACGGGGTGCACAACGCGGGGTGACACCCGCGGGCCAAAGCCGAGGTATTCCAGTATGCCAGAGAGCCAGGCTGGGTTGTTTGAATTTTGCCTCGGGTGATGAACATGCGAGGCTGTTGCGATCGTTATTTGCCGTTGTTGATACTTACTAATTTCCTGTTGCTGTTGGTATGGTTGTCAATCGGTGTGTTCATTGGCACTTGTAAGCATGAGTAGTGCACCCGTACCAGGAGGCTTTATTTCCTCTGTAACATGGTTCAAGCGTAGGAGAACCTGGAGTTCTGAGCGGCTTGTCACCACGAGGGATAGTGGCCTGCGTCGAGTTTGCAAATGTTTGACGAGCTACTTATGTTGATGGCCACTCCTTTTGCCCGATTTTGATAATGATAATGATGATAAGGACAAGGATAATGATAATGACGATAATAGTAATTAGTAGCAATAGCAATAACAATAATAACAGTAATAATAATGAGAGTAATAATGTTAGAAATGATAGTGATAGTACTACTGATTATGAATAATAGTAGGACAACATAATGACTAATAATTGTTATGAACAGCAAGAAAAATACGATAATACCATAGTAGCAAAACAAAGGTGAATACAACTATTACCAATAATCATTAATGAAACACAACTAATAGTCGTAGTAAGACCATCACAATAACATGTTTTGACATACTATTCCAAACAATATTGATAGGACATGACTAATACTTGCTATCTATAATACTGATCATGATTATAATTCTAACGGTCATAATAATGATAATGATAGCAACTAACTACCCTCCAGTCCACTAACATGCAAACTCACGGGGGGTCCAGGAAGACTATTTTTCTTCTAAGCGGATCCGCTGGTGGGTTCCATGTTAGTGCACAGGAGGCTACAATCATAACAACAATAACAATTGCAATTATGATTTTCACGCTTGAGGCTTCTTTGAGTCGGCTCACGTGTTGGCAGGATGCGGATATCCAAGAAGGATACTTCCAAGAGGGTGAGGTTGTGGTCTACCACAGTCGCACCCACAGTGGGCAGCTTGGCTGCAGGCCCTTTTCAGAACCACTCCACATCCCCGGAACCAACCCTTCTTGGAACCGCCTCCTTGGAACCCTAGCTCAAAGCCGCCCCGGTCCAATCCCGGGCAACGACCCCAAAGCCATCCATAGCCAGCCCAGACACCGCTGCTTGCCACAGGTGTCCTTTTTCGTCCAGTTTGGCCAGAAATAGATGGGTTTCCACGGTTTAGATGGGTTTTATGCCCCCTTTTGCAGGGAAACCCATCGATTTTTCCAAAGGTCAGCTATGGTTCTTGTTGGTAGGGGGTCCCTAGGTTCATTTTCCCGGTGATGAGGGCCTTCACCGCAGTCTCCAAGTTCTTCCCAGTCTGAGAAAACCATCTCGGGGGTTGCTGAGCGTTCTTTTCTGCCAATGTTTGGACGCAGACCAGGTCTAATGCTTTGTTTAAAAGGAGGCTGAGAAAGCTGCGCTTTCTGCTCTAATGTTTGGGCTTGACCTGGTCGTTTTCCCCTAGCCAAAATATGGTTGCCAGTTCAGGTACCCTGAATTGGCAGGATCGAAGCTCTGATATCTCTTGCCTGGGGCACTGTGACCTTTCCCCATTCGATCGTCCATAATTGGTAGTCTGGGCACACCACGGCAATCTCACCCGCTGGGGGTTTGCAACATGTGGGCACTTGCAGCATTAGTTGGTTTCTTTTCTTTTTGGGTATTGACTGCTCAAATCGTCCCCGATTTTGTGAGTCACCCAAGTTCCGCAGGTATCTCAGGACAAGGATTACGAAGATCCATGCGGTGGCTGGAGTCGTGCAGGCAATTGATTTGACCTGCAAGAAGAGGCGGGTGCTTGTCGGGGGAGGGGAAGACGTTCTCTGGAGAGGCCAAACGAAATGGGTGGCTTCCTTTTGGTTTTGCCTTAGACACCAATCAAAAGGGTACCCTCAAACAAGACACCCGCATGGTTCTTGGGTTTCTCAACCTGCTCAAAAGGTAATCCATGGGCTTCATAAACGACAGTTTTAGCTATGTGGACAAACAGGAAAGCCCTGTTTGCATGATCTTGAGAATCAAGAAGAGATGGTTGTTACAGGGCCAAGGTTGAGAAGTACAGGGTTTTCTGCCCCAAAGAATGCATAGCGTCACCTCCAAAAAGCGGAGCTTCAGGATCTATAATGAATGACTCCCCCCTACCTGCGGAACCACCCGCAGTATGGTCCCCAAAGGGCCAAAGTTGACGAATCCATTCTGCACTTGGGTGCTCCATTTCCTTTCCCGGGCGTCAGCTAATGCGAGCTGAAAAGCCTTGGCTGATTGAATTTTTGCATGGAGCCTTCAGGAAGGCAGCATCCTTTTGTTGCTGTGATTTCAAAGGGCCCAGGGATAAAGCAATGAGATTGTTCTACCCTGATCACGGAAGCTCGCACACTATCACTATCGTTTTGGTGAACCTCCATGGTCCAGTTTCCATGATTGTTGGAAGAGAGGGCAATGGGAAGGAACCCCGGATTAACAAGTCCATCCTATTATAGGGTGACACCACAAAAGTGAAGGATCCCCACAAACCCCCTTTAAATTAATCCGGGGTAAAAATTAGGGGCGACCCTCGCCTCAAGAAGCTCTGCCAGTGCCGACATGGCCAAGATCGCGAAGATCCATGAAGCGCCCAGCACCTCGTCTCCAGCGAAGGGTGGGGGGCACTTGAGTTTGTCTCAAAATGTTGCGGAGCGGGGCCCCCAAAATGGGTGGTTTTGTTTTGGTTGGCCTTTGAGCAAACCCCAACAAGGGTGCCAGAATGGACACATCCACTGGTCTCTTCTCAGCTATCCCGCGCCAAACTTGTCTTTTGGTTGGCCCCCCCCCCCCCGAGAGTCGAATTTCTCTTCATGCGCATGCTTGGGGTCAAGTGAGTGAGAAGTCCGGAGTTGCCATGGATTGCACATGCACGCTGACCAGATGGCAATGTTTCCCAGTTTTCTTCCAACGCCGGCCAAGGAAACTGTTCTCACCTGCTTTTGGGAATGCTCCAGTTGAGCATAGGCTCAGGCCAGTAAGTAGGCGCTTGTTCGGCCGTTCATCCAACCACCAGCAGTCTTTTCTGTTAAAGCTTTCACCGAGGTATGGCACGCATCTAGTTAGCTAAACTTTCTGGGGAGCATAATGGGGGGAACGAGCTTGTTTTTTTCACGGTTTGTTCTGAGTAGGCCAGAGCCATGGATTGTCTTATCAGATGTAGGGTAAGCCCTTGCAGTGTTGCTTGTTACGAAGTTTGCGAGTCTACGCGTTCGTGTGTTTGGCTGAAGCTGACAAAGGTAGTCGTGTGATTTAGTAGTTGGTAGCCGAAAAGGGTTTTTGAAAAGAGAGAAGTGGCGGCGGAATAAATCGGCATTGCGCTAATCTAGTGCTTTCGACATTGCGCCCTTATCAGCCAAGATTGATCTATTCGGGGTTGAAAAGTAGCTGGGTGTGTCTGAAAATGAGGGACCCCCCCAGCAACATTTCTGTTCAACATTCTAGAAGCCTCCCTAGGCTTGCGCAGGGCGCTGCCAGGCTTGAAGAGTAAAGTTATGTTTACAAAAAGGGGACCAGCGGCCTACCGCGGCACCCGGCGCAAATTTTGCGGGTGGGAAACCTGCTGTTTCTCCCAGGTGTCGAGAGGCAGGAGAACGCCCGGGCGCTCGGGACTGGCGCCCGCGGAATCTGGTAGCCAGGCATAGCCCCTGTGCAAGTTTTGCAAGTTTTGAAAGGGTGTTTCTCCTTTTGGGTTGATGGTTTTAAATGGGGCATATATTAATGGGGAACTCGGAACCAACAATGCCACATCCATTGTTGGCTGGAACGAGGCGCCATATCTTGGGCCAGAGGAAATGGGAGCCATATGGACTTTTGAGGCTGGGAAGCACTCTTTGGGTTGGTTGTTTGCAAGTCGAAATTAGACAGGACACCGGACCCAACTTTGGAGGGCCCTGTTTGTAGACAACCCCACAGGTCGGAAATGGGCGCCAGAAAACTCAGGCTTGGACTTTCTGGAATTCCAGTCGAGCAAGTGACCTTTGTTTAGATGTCAGAACTCATTTGGCTATCCTCGTCCAGAGGCTGAAATGATTTATGTTTTCGCATCTGGGAAGGTTCCAAGATGCGGGAGGAAGATCTTCTAATTCTTGTCTTCTTCGTAGCCGTTTGCTACGAGGATCAAAAGACTTGCGGATGAATATGGGAGACCGTAAGCTCTCCGACAACCCCTCATTGGTTTGGATTGGTTTGGGGAAACAAACGAAAGACCACCAAGAGGGTCCCGCGGCCACATGGCGCTGGCTCAGCGAGGTTCTCGCCGAGCTCCCGTCGCCGCTCTTTGTGGAGAACGCGGAGCGACGGCGCGCCGACACGTACCTGGAGGGCCTCATCGCCTACGAGGCGAGGCGACACGCCGATGTGATGGTCCCATGAAATGTGTCCCCGCCCCCTCCCGATTGTGTGGGTTTAAGGAGGTCGTTAGAAGCCAGGAAACTGTCAGCCGAAACTGTCACCCCCGAGGCTTTGCTGTTGCCCATTTTGAGAGCCGCAAAAGAGGACCTCCAGAGTTGGAAGGCATGGGCAAACTCATGACCTCACGGGTTTCTTCTCCATTGGGGTATTTTGAATAGGGATCCACCTCCAAAGTGGTTGGTGGACATGAATCCCCACCCAAATCACCTAAGTAATGTCTACCACAGGGTCCCCGAATAAAAAACACCCATTTCTTCGTGGTTGGTGAAATTCCGCCTGAACCTGTCGCAGGCCGGAGCGGTGGGCAAGGCCTACAGTGAGCCACAGAGCCCGGGCCTCGCAGACGGGTGCGGTGGGGGCATGGACACTTGGCATGCGCAAATCCCAGGCCCAATATCGACTCCACACGTGTCCGGCACATGTTTTGTTTTTAAGGCGATGTGTGTGTGTGTGTCTCTGTGTGCGAAACCTCCTAGTGCACGGAGGCATGGCGTTACTGCCAACATTTTATTTATTTTACTTTGCAGGGGTGGCAGCAGGGCCGAGAGTCTGCCACCAACGAAGACACTTTCGTTTCATGCAGTTGGAGACGTCCAACTGCGTACCTGCAAATATACCTAAACCAGGCCACATGTGTCACCCGACTTTCCAATGTTTCAGTTTAGTGCCTTGCATCCCAAAGTGTGTGTGTGTGTGTGCTGAGCGTCAGTTCAACCCTGATTTCAAGCAAAGGGGCTGGTTGCCCACACAAGTACCGGCCCAACGAAGAGGCTTGTGTGTCGCACTGATATGAGTGAGAACTCTCACTGACGTACCAGCAGTAGTGATTCATCTGGCAGTCCTTTTGGCGCTTTGGTTCTCTCGCTGTATGTGCTTCTTGTTGAGGATGTAACGTCGCTGCTCGAATCACTCGACTCGAAGATCAGCTTTCTTCTCTCTTTAGGAGGCATTTAACGTGTGTGTGTTTCAGGCTGTGTTGTTGTTGTTGTTGTTGTTGTTGTTGTTGTTGTTGTTGTTGTTGTTGTTGTTGTTGTTGTTGTTGTTGTTATTATTATTATTGTTGTTGTGGGCGCCCTGGACAAGCTTGCTCGAAGCTCAAGAAGCCCTTCAAAGCGGGAAACGAAGGAGCGTTGCACTCTTGATTACCCCGGCCCTGAGCTCAAAGCAAGGACTCTTTTGCTGCTCGGATTTGTTCGGATCGCAGAAAGCTCTTTGAGATGGTGTTTGGACGAAGCCTTACATGGGAGGCTACTTTGGGGGCTTCAAGACTTTGGCTGTTTGCTTGCTTGAAGACAAGCAGATGCAGCGTGAGTCTTTCCGTGATATCAATGGACCCCTGTGTCTTTTTGAGGGTACATGCCCCTTCTTTGATGGTTTTAAAAGGGAAACCAAATGGACACCAACTGTAGACACACCCAAATAGCAGAATCAAAACACGAGTCTTGTTCACAAGCCCTTGCCTGCTGAGGCCCGGCGATGTTTAGCGTGGGAGACAAGGTGCCCCTCGGCTGAATCACAAGAAAGCTGCAGGGGCCCCATTTCCACGGTTTCTATGTTTCTTTCTGTTCTCAAATGATGCATTTGGTTTATCAGCAGGTTCACATGTTTTTCTTGGTTTGTTGGCTTGCTGGCTTGCTTGCTTGCTTGCCTGTTTGTTTGTCTGTTTGTTTGTTGTCCGTCCGTCCGTTTGCCTGCCTTTCTGCCTCCTACTTTTGCCTGCCTGTCTGCCTGTTGATTTGCCTGTCTCTCTGTCAGTCTGTCTGTCTGCCTGCCTGTCTGCCTGGGGTGATTGTGACAAACATCTCTCCATCTCTCTCTCCATCTCTCTCTCCATCTCTCTCTCTCTCTCTCTCTCTCTCCCTCTCTGTCTCGCTCTCTTGCGCATCATGCCATGAGGAGACACATATGTGCGCGTGTCAGGCTTTTGAGTCGCTTTGTGCTCAGGTTTTACAACAGCAAAACGCACAGCCAGCAGATCCTTGCAGTTGTGGAGGGCGTCACGGCTGACGGCCTTTACGACCTGGACGTGAAGAAGTCGGCGCACCCCTTAAACCTGTTGCCTTACGCCTCCTGGCGCAACCGTAGCGGTCTCCTGGGAAGGGAAAAACAATCCATTTCCTCGTTACTATCTTCTCTCGCGTTTTGGATGGTCATCACGCCTAGTGTTTGTTTTTGAGACAAGGCTACAAAGCCCTTTAGAGTACCCATGAAAAAAACATCGCACTCAGTTGTTCAGATGTGTTTTCTTTTCTTCCTGGCTGGCCCTTGTTTTAATGAGCCCCCAGCCGTGAGCCCCCAGCCGAGGTGAGCCACAATTAGAGCGGTCAGTTGGGGGCACGCCAACTCAAAATCGGTTCGGCAATTCTGTACCATGGATTTGGAAGATCTGGGTATGTTTCTAAATGAGGGGAATCCCAAATGATTAGTTTCCTTTTGGCTGCCCTTTAACTCAACCCCAAAAAGGGTACCCTCAACAAAAAAGAGACGAGGCACCCATCTCCTCAGCACCAGGTTTTGAACTCAGGTAGAGTCTCCGAGCCCGGCTCCGGCGTTAGCGACGGCGCCGGCCTTTCCAACGCAGGCGCCGCCACGCCCGGAGGAGATGATTGGGGGATTCGGGAATGAGCTTGGTGAAGTTTTCAACCCTAGAGCTATGGGGTTATTGAGACGAAGGCTCCAGCAAAAAGGGAAGCTTAGGGTGAGTGGCATCAACCCAGAAGGGATCGCACCCGATTCGCAGCCCTTTGGAGCTCCGTTTTGGGTCGCGGCCATTACTGCGGAGCTGTAATCTTGGAATGCCTTGCCACGCTAACAGAGGCATGTGGGTGTCTTTTGACCTAACCCCTTTTTTGTCGGCTTTCAGGGGAAACCGAAGCCATTTTGGGGGGTCCAACCTTAAAGGCACACCTATTTCTTCCCTGAGCCCTTGCTTCGAGATGAATTTCTAGACCACTGTCATCCAGGAGCGAACAGCCACCCGGGTGCAGCTGCCAATCCAGCACGTCCGTGTGATGGACAGCGCGCCTGTCCGTGTGATGGATGGCCCTCCGGCAGTAACTGTGATTGTGTTTTCAAGAGCTGAACTTTGCTGGGTTTGCCGGGGTGTTTCCAGGTGTTCTCAGCAGCACGCTTCGAAGTTCTCTAGCCAAATGCCACATTGGAAAACCGCACATTTCTTCAGCCGTTGCTTCATTTCTCGTTGAATGATTCATGCAGACGTGATTCATGCATTTCCTTGTTATTTTCTTTCAGCGGACGACCGGCGTGAGGCACACCCACCAACGCGGGAGCCACCCCACTGAGCTGCACGCCCTCGTCCGCCGCGGAATTTGTGGCAAGCCGGCACACCGGAGAGGCCGGCCCAACAAAACTCCGCCAGCTGTCAGTCGCGGGGGGGGGGGCTGTCTCTTATAAGGTTGGACCTGCAACTTGGCTCAGGTTTTCTTTTGGCTTTAATTTTAAACCACCAGTACCCTGCAAAAAAGACACTGCCATTTTTCGAAGAGAGGCCAATGCCCTGAGTGGTGGTAATTTACACGTAAAACAGTTGCCTTACCAGGAACCAAGGAAACAGACCCAGTTTGGGGGGCCCAGACTTCTGAGACAATTTTTAGATTGTTCTCAGGCTGTCACCTCTTACATTTGGCACGTGGGATATTGGGACCTGCCAACATCTTGCTTCGACCTTAAAGCGGATGGCACAAACTGATTCATGTACAGTGCATCAACCCCTTCCTGCAGTTCTGATCCACTGATCTTGTTGGGTAAATTATTGCATATGGGATGATGTGTTTCCAGGGGCAACTCTACAGAAGCCTGCAAAGATCGATGGAGCGTTTGCGTTGCTTGCCTGTTGAGGTGACCTTCTATCTAAACATGAGGTGCCGTTTCTTTTCACAGATTGCTTTACATTTGAGTGCAGTCCGAGAAACAGGGCACTTTTCCAGATATTGGACTTGTAAGGGTGACGTCTCCTGATTGTGGCCATGTGGGTTTGCATCCAAAAAATGGGTGTGTTCTCTTTGGTTTTCCGTTGACTCAACATAAAGGGCACTTTGAAGAACTGAAGCATACGGGAGTTCATTTCGGGACCCCTAGCAGGTGGTTTGCCTTGGGTTGCCTTCAAAACAACTTTGACCCATTGATTCCCTTTCCTTTGGCTCCCGATACTTACCCCTACACCCCACAAGAAGCTCATCTGAAAGTGGCCCAACCGGTGACGTTTAAAACCAGCCCAGGCAATACGGGGAACCATGTTTATATACATCTCACGTGTTGGCCATCTCTGATTCATCCACTGGGGTTTTGGGAACCTTTTCCTTTGATCTGGGTGTGTCTTCTTCGGGTACCCTACCAACGCCATAGGGACATGGGGAGCTGGGTCCAGAGGATCCCCTTTGGTTTGTCGTTGGTTCAGCTTGGTCACCGGTCACTTCGCCGGTCAGGGCCGGATTGTGAGCTGCAAAGTCTCCGCAGCGGTGCCCATTGGCCCCACGGTGCCCAGCCCCATCAGGACGCGCAGCGGTTCTCTAGCAAATGGCCGTGTCCTTTTGGGGTCCCGGACGGGTCCCTCAAAAATGAAGTGGTACCCTGACAGAACCAAGGAAAAACAGCTCTCCGGAATTTCCCCCAAATGGCTTTGGTTTTCCTTTTGGTTTTCCTTTCATTCGGGAACCACCTCCAAAGCGGTTGGTGGCATGCATCCACACCTCGTTCTGATGTCCACCAAAGGGTCTCATTTTAAAAT